TTTACTATGCTAAAAATTATCTGTGTCTTGTGACAGTAATTATTTATCGCACATGCACGGCATGGTGACCAGTTAAAGCATTCACTTGACACATCCTTGGTTTCTAAAGGTCTTTTATTTTTATTAAGAATTAACTGGGAATGACTTTTGAGGTTTACACATGTTTTTTTATTAGTGTACCAGGTTTCGGACATACTGCGGAAATAACACTGAACTTGTCTCATAAGATAAATCATACCAAAGGGGCATCAAGTTAAAGAGTATACAACTATGGTCTACATTTGTGCAAAATATCTGATGAAGTGGGCAATGAAAAATTAAATGACAAATGTTTGTCGAAATATTTCAAACATATATGATATCTGTAATAAGTCCTTAATTCTGCATGTTATCTCAAATAAGTTAAAGACCATATAATTATTGTTTGCTTGTGAATTATTGTGCAATGTGTAGATTATACACTATACTTAGAATAGAATATATATTTTTAACATTCATCTATAAGTGCATATGCCCATCCTGGCTTTACCTTATCTCCTTGACTCTTGTTAGTCAATCCAATCTGGTACAGGACAAATTGAGAACTGATATCCTGTTATCTCTGAGATAGCTTATAGATGCAGTCCTGAAGATGCTACAATGACTGGAATCTTATTAATGGATTACAGCAAGTCTTGGAAGTATTGGGACAGATAGTTTAATAAAAAATATGACTAGCATGACTTATATAATCTTAAATTCGGCTCTTTAATATTTGATTCCAGAATCAAAGGTTACATTATGCCTGCCACCTTTGCTCACATAGTGTACACACTCTGCCTTAAATCTTCCTGGAGAACTGTGGAAATAAATACAAATTTTTAAATTGTACATTTTGTATTTTTTAGATTGATGTTTCAAAACTAGACTACCAAATACTTGTTTATTTTAAAACAAAAACAAACTAGTAATCTGTTTGCCAGGTATAATTACGTTTACTCGTGTTAAACATCTAATATGGCAGACTCAAATCTTGCAACAATAGGTTACATTCAGAATAATGAATTGCATCACATGATGGCACCTACTGTAAAATCTGTATTAGAAGCCGCGGCTTCTATTAAAATGGTACAATGCAACAGAGGGGATGCGGCTTCTATTAGAGCATGTACACATATGAGAAATGATGAATTTTTTATTCTAAATTATTCAAAAAGAATGGGTGCGACTTCTATTAGGGATGCGGCTTCTAATACAGATTTTACGGTAGGTATCGGTACTAATTTTACTTTTTTTGAGCCAATTTTTATCGGTTAGTATGCTAAAATCAGAATTTCATGCAGTCCAATCCTCAACTAGCATGCCTGTTTGCACCACTGTACAATTTTGAACTTTTCATGACCAAAGTTTGACAAATTATTGTATTGATATAATAGAACTTCCATTTGCTTACATTTGCTTTGTAAGCATTGAATGCTATATTGTGTGATTAAAATAATTTATCTCAAGTTACCTTAATGTCTTTGCATTTATTGTTAGTGTTTTTAGTGTTTTTGTGCATGCATTGTAAATGTCTGTAAAAAGTATCTGGAGTTTGGTGAATAGCCAACTTTCTAATGTATCTAAAGTTAGAGTTTTTTGTAATGCCATGAAAGTCTAGCATGTTAGTAAAAATTGTAGGAAAGTAGTAGTAGTCACGGAAAATAGTTTGGCTGGTTCCCGCCTCAAGTGTCAAAGGACGCCGGGAACCAGCGAAGGAAAATACTAGTAGTAAGCTTTCACGTTATTTTCTCATTTTAGTCGTTGAGGGCGTTGTTAGCTAGCCTTTTTATGAACATTTCACACAGATGAGTATTCTCCAACCTCCAATAATACAATATCAAGAAGCTACCATATGAAGATGACAAGAAAAATACCAAAATAAATAAACTACGCACATATAGACAAATATTGAACAAGATATCTCGTTTGAAAGTTGTGAAATAATAAGCAATCCCAGACACAGGGATAGGAATAACCTTAGTACGCCCATGAAATAACTAAGCTAGGTATCAGTGCGCATGTGTCTGTCTCGTGCCCATCGCCCTCAATACCATGCTTGCTATAACAACCACAAAACAAAACAGTGCATATTCGATTTTTGATTAATTTATTATTCATAAGTTAATTCATTACTCGTATTTCTGCACGGTATTGGTGCTCTGCAGCTCGTTGCATCCAAAACGAAAGTACTGCTATAACCGACGTTGGTGGTGTTAGTGTAAACTTTGACCTTTCACGACACATGGCTGGTGAATGTTGGCATACTGTTGCTGATATAGTTTGTATACTTGTGACTCTGTGCTGCTCGTTCATACTCTATCAGTGTTGGTAAGTTGATCACATTTGTGTCGTCAGTTAGTGTGCGTATCTTTGTAAATGGATCGACAGATTTAATTCTCACATTATGAGGTATGGCGGTGTGGGTCAGTGTCAGCTGGCCTCTGTGTCTGGCTGATATGGTCGGAGTCCCTACACAACTACTGGGACCGCAGGTGCCTATCAGAAATACTAGTACCTTCATAATCAATGTTGTTTGTATGGCAGCTGGTATTTTAGTCATTTCTGATACATTTGGTGTCATTAAATTTGTTATTTTCAAATATTACTATTAGGATATTTATCGACAAAGAAAAATAATTTTTTTAAAACATTTTGGGGAAATGATTGTTTCAATCATTTTGTTTGATATGATATTCTGATAGGGTATGATTTATTGTAAAATTAAAATGTTGTTCTAGCAAGAATAATAGTAGTATTCCTTTGGATAACTCTATATTCTAGTATGCATACATGTATGCCCTGTTTCAAGGTACTGTTTTATATTAGATAAAATAGTATTTTACTTATTGCTATATATATTTAATATTTTTAATATTAATGCTATGTTTGTTAACAAAACTATGGCTTTAATTAAATTATTATCCACTTATCCATCATTGGTAAATGACACACAGTATACTGTGGAAGGTTTTATTCACTGAAAAATATATTCTAAAATTGCATATTTAAGGGATTTTATTTTAGTACAATTAACAATTGGCTAAATATAATTCAAAATAAATCCCAGCTATTTTTTATGAGTGATACAATACAGTCATATTGTTGTTTTTAATTGTTTTCAGACTAATTACTTTTCACCATGGTTTTCTTTAATTGCAATGCATGTGGGCAAACAGTGAAGAAGAACCAGGTGGAAAAACACTATCAAACACAGTGTCCTAGATGTGAAGTCCTCTCATGTCTGGACTGTGGCAAAGAATTCTTGTAAGTAACAATGCAATAGGTGATTTTCCGTACAATTGCGAGATCTCGTGAGATGCATGAAAGACGCGTGTCGAACGTCTGCCGCAAAAATCGAACGATTTGATTTTGAACTCGAATTTCTTTATTTCGTAGCTCACACCGACCAGCTGATCTTCGACAGAGGAATATTGCTTCCGAATACCCTCACTTAATTGAAATTGTCTATCATCAAATCTGGACAGCACATTGTTAAGCATGGAAATGCCCCCAAAATACTTTCGCGTTTGTCGAATCCCACGCGATGTTTGACGCCACTACGACGCTATGACCTTTGTTTGTCCTGTTTTTACGTTCGATTTCACGCATAACGCGTGATTCTCGCAGTGAACGGAAAATGGTCTATTCAAATACTGTTAACCCTTTTCACCACCAGATTTTTTCACTCATATTTTTCTGCATTTTTTTTTTTATATTCTTCAACATTTCTGGAAGTGAACCCTAATTTTGGAGTCAACTGACAAAATTTGAGTAAATTTTCAGTTTTTACTCAAAAAATTGCGCTATTTTTGTTTCGGTCTTCTGAAAAAAGGCACAGACTATAAACATGGCTGTTTTGTTAACTGGTTGTGAAAATGTTAATGTGTATGTGGAATGACTACTGTCACATTAATTTTTTGGGCTTCTGTTGCCCTTAAATGGACATTTGTGCACAAATATTTAACATATTTAAATTGTGTAAAATTGAAAAAAAAGTTTTTTTTGTGAACTGTTCTGTTCAGTGTTCTCCAAGTTTCTGCTTTATAGTGGCAGCAAATCTACTGGTATTGACAACGCTACAAAATAACAACTGTTACAATAATGAAATTCTCGCCAACCCATAAAGGACTCAAGCATACTCTGTTTTCAAAATATGTTGCACAAAGTTGGCTTTCACCCATTATGGGTTATCGAGTCGTTCATTTGTTTTTAAGTATAGGCTTTGTGGATAAATTATTTTGAGCATTTTATATCATGGTAGGAAAAATAAGTATGATTTGTCGTAAAAGTAGCAGCACATATTGAATAAATGATACATTGTACTAGTAGTAATGGACGGATACACTAGCATTTTCATTCTGTAACTGACTGATTTTATTTGTTTTAGACAGTATGGATGTGGATGAAAATTGGTGAATGATTCACCCACTGATTATGTAATGCACTAATTAAATTCTTTTCACAAAAATAGTGGTGATGATTATCAAGAACATACTAAATGTATCACAGAAGACACCAAGTATGGTAGTATGGAAAATAGAGCTGTAAACTCAAAACCAAAGAAAGGTGAAATCAAACAAGAAAACTGGATACAGCGAGTAAAGGACGCCAGTAATAACGTCAGCGTGCCTCCAAGGTTGAGAAATTTACTTCTGAAAATTACAGAGTATCCAAATGTTCCAAGGAAGAAAGCAAAGTTTGTAGTAAGTTTCAGTTTACTGATGTTGATGTGTTCAGTTTCAAGAAGCGTTCAGTCCACTGAGGTGTTTTGTTTGCAAATGTGCTCAGTTTACAGAGGTGTTTTGTTTACAGATGTGCTCAGTTCACTGAGGTGTTTTGTTTACAGATGTTCTCAGTTCGCTGAGGTGTTTTGTTTACAGATGTGCTCAGTTCACTGAGGTGTTTTGTTTACAGATGTGCTCAGTTCACTGAGGTGTTTTGTTTACAAATGTGCTCAGTTTATAGAGGTGGTCAGTTTACTTAAAGTGCAAAAGTGCTTTTGGTGGTTAACACAAGGTTAACCCAGTTTTTGTCCCAGACAAGACAGCTCTGTTTCTACAACCTTTTGTATTTATCTGTTTTTATCTAGAATTTTTTGAAGAACAGTTTAAGAGTGTTTGACCTATCTACATCTGAGCAGTTGTGGGAAATATTTTCCTCAGCCAATAGTAAACAAGAAAATGTGAGTAAATTTAAATGTTTAAATTTTACCGTAAGAATGTTCAACCTTTTGAGTAACAAATTTTGTTCCCACTCAAAATTGGGTAATATTGTCCCACATTTTCTGTTGTTTTCATGAATTTGATCTTAATTTTGAACCAGACACACAAAATGTGATGTTGCTGAGGGTTGATAACAAAATTTAGTAACAATAATTAAATATCATGAAATACCATCAAATTTGTTTCTAAAATTTTAGAGATAAATTACAAATTCTTTTTTATATCTAGGATCTCATGCAAAAACCCAGTATTTTGAACTCTGGCTGTGATGTGGTGGGAAATGGCAAAGAAGTTGAACAAAATTCAAATGATGATCTGGAATTAGAGAAAACTAAAAAGAAAAAGAAAAAAGACAAAATGTCAGAAGATTTAGATGATAAAAAAACTGAACAAACTGATGACAGTTATGACATTAGTCATAAAAAGAAAAAAAAGAAACGAAAAATTGAGGATTCAGTTGCTGTAGTGAATGATGATGATGATGAAGATGTTGAGTCAACTAAAAGCAAGAAGAAAAAAAGAAAGAAAATGAAGCATCTGTTGGAGAATGAAGATCATAATGACATTGTTTGCGATGAAGAAGACAACAACACTAAAAAGAAAAAGAGGAAAAATAAGAAAGATGAACAAAGTTTACACAAAAATCTAGACAGTGTAGATGGGGAGGGGAGTAAGTTCACAGATATGAAACCAGGAAAGAGGAAACAAAAGCATGAAAGTAAGTAATGATGTATATGAGTTATTGTAACAAGATGGTAATGGAAAAGCCTTCACTATTAATTGTTTTTGTGAAACTTATTGTATCAATTTTAAGTCTAGTCCACTGAAAACAAGCACAGATAGCTACCATTAAAACATGAAACAAATTAATCACAGTAAATTAATCAAAAATTGTCGTTCATTTTTAACGTTTTTATGTTGAAAGAAGGATGTGTTTCCAAGGAAACATGCAAAATAATCTAAAAAGTGGTAATTTTTGAGCATTTTTTATAGGATTCCATGTAAACACATGTATTCCATGGATAATATATATTCAGAATTTGTTATGACAGTCATTTTTTTTAGCAAGTGTCACCAAACAAATCTCTGATATATGATAGAAACCAATTGTGAACTATTAATAAGAAATGCATTTTTCATCAATTTTCCAGGTCGTTTTGTGGAAAACTTGAGAAAATTTAATTTCAGTTCAGTGGATTTTGATTATTTCTGAGTATTTTTTTTAAAGGTAGCAAGCTATTTGCTACTAAACTAATGTATATTACGAGTTGATAGATAATGAGATAATTGGTATAAACTCCACTATCACATGCTACCATACTGTGTTTTAATTATCTACTGGTACTAGTATGTAAACTTTTTAAAAGAACATAGAGCTACATTTGTTGACTGTTTTCTCAAAATCATTTGCGGGTCTGGTGAATCCATTCTTCTAGCTGGCTAAGTTTATACAGCTATAGGGGGATTATGTGTCTGGTCACAGTGATCCTGTTCTGATGTATGAGTACACGTAAGGGCAGGGAGATTTTAAATTCTGTCCAGTGACTGGTTAATTGGGTCTTACATTCTATTTGTATGCAAAGGTACTATTTGCAGTGTTTGTCTTAGTATTTGCAAAACAAAATTACCAAAGGGAAAATGAGCAAAGAACAAAATTAAAAAGTTTTTCAAGTTAAAAACAATTAAGTATATTCCACTAACATATATTATGAGACAGCCTTCTTAATACATATTTTTAATATCGGTATAAAAAAAAAATATTTTTTACTGACGCCAACAAACTCAGCAACCAGTAACATTCAACAAAAATTACAAGGTCAAAATTACTACCTTAATCAACATTTCAACTTGTGCAGCAAATGCCAAGCAAAGTCAACTTTAGAAGACAATACAAAGCTTATTACACTGTTGTCTGAGGAGTCTGCAGTATATATGGTATAATTATTATTATGTCCTTGATTTATTCAGTCAATGTTATAATTGTTTCATCTAGAAAGTGAAAAGGTCAGTCCAAGCAAAAAACATAAAAAAATAATGGAAAATGATGATGAAGAGGAGAATGCAGGTAATTATATCTTGAATATGTAGGTATGCTCAACAGTGATTGAAGTGAAACCCAGAGAACATAATATGATAATGGGGTACATTTGAGACAACTGAAATGTGCATTTTGGCTGATGTGTGTATTTTTATTAGAAGTGTGCTTCTAATGCAGCAAATATAGATATTGCTTCTCATACCACAATGGATGCTGTGTCACTCGACATATTGGCATATTCACTTGCTGTTTGAACACTTTCTCACAATGTGGTTTCATTTAAGGTGATAGTTCTTTACTGTTCTGATAATAAAAATAAAACATAGAGAAACTATCAAATCCTTGCCAATATATTGATTTAATCTGTGAATTACCTGTTAACTAAGTATGTTGTTAGATTACAAAGTGCATGAAAAATGCATCAATGCATTTAATTGAATCTGTTTCATTTGATTCAAATGAAGACTGTTTCCTTTGATCTGGGCTGTTTCATCCCTTATTTCACCTATTAATTCTACTTTCTGTACAGGAAATAAATTCCATTGGGAATCCATGATAAAAAAGGTTTTGAAGTCCAGTGATGCAAATGAACTACCGATTAAGAAACTAAGAAAAAAGGTTAGACAATTGTTGCAAAATGTTGTAGCTTTTCTATATTATTATTATTATCCGCATTGAGTTATTTTGTTACATCATACTATTGTTCTCATCAGAGACTTTCTAACTTCATGGCCACTATGTATGTGTTTTGACATTATACATGTATGGTTTCCATAGCGATGTACACAACATATAATAATACATTGTTTTGTTTACACAAAGTTTGAACACTTGCATGTACTGCATGACAACCATCGCTCTGTAATTATTCAATTTATTCTGTAATTTAGATATTATATTGCCAGTAATTTTTTTCTCCTT